TATACGTAATTGTTCGGTAGTTTTTGTAGAGGTACACGATTTTCCAATGGATGGATGTCAGGCTGTATATTGACGTTAGACCTGGCACAGCCTGGTCGGGTTAGAACATGGCTAGTCTAATCTAAGTTAATTTTACTAGTTCTACAAATACGATGTATAGTAACTTACTATACTATAATAAGTATAATACTATAGTAAAGTACGTATTAAGTAAGTAGGTTTTACCGTGTTAGTACTGTTACCAATACCACCTCATCCTCGATCTGTTTTACCCTCTCCACTCCCCTGGGTCAGTGGGGTTAGGGTTAGTCAGAAATAGCTAAACGAGCCAAGTCAAACAGCGGTCAGGGGACATAGACCCTACGAGCGTCAGTGGGTGTAGTGGTTCTAGACTCAAGTAACTAGGCTGACATATTGGGTTAGTAGTGCCACTGCTACTGCCACTGTGAATAGTGTGTTTAGTGGCTATGCATTAGCTAGCAATTATTCCACCTTATAAGATAAATCCCACGAACTGTGGTATCTAATCATGTAGCATCTAATCATGTAGCAATAGCAGTCTGATGACGTCACATGGGTGAGATTTAGCAAAACAACACCAGTTGGACTTTGGAGCATTTTTACATTATAATTAGAAAAATTTCTATAAGGATTCTAGTTCTACTTTATTATAAGCACTAAAGTCTAAGACTCTAATGTGATGGCTGGCATAAGTAGGATGTCTATTCCGATAGCCACATGTTACTTTTTGCTTCTCACTATGTTGTGAGAAGGTCATCGGTGAATGAAGCGACCAAACCTTGTGGCTAACAAAGCGCTGCAAGAAAACTCATCAATAATACATATAGGATTTTCTATACCAGTTCTCTGTACTTCTACACCAGTACACCTAATGGGTAACTGTGAATGTGATATTGCTAACCAGGTATTTTCATCTCAGCAAGCATTTTTGAGATTTAATAAGGAAGATTTTCAGGCAAGGTGGTCATTTCTGTTGAAATTCTGTATGGTTTTTGTACAAATGAGATGTTTCATTTTGGCTAACAACGGTTGTTATATCAGATTGTTGCCAACTATCACAATTAGGGGTGCGGAACTTGGATCCGGCCGGAACTATCCGGCTGGATCCCCAATTTTCCAGAGTTCCGGTTCCGGCTGGAACCCTTCAGAAACAGTCGGCCGGAACCGGAACTTTTTCCTAATTTCATTTCTGCTACAACATGGTTCGCACAGTCCTTGAAAAGTCCTTGAATTTGAGGGAAGTTTTTGAAAAGTACTTGAATTTAGTAAATGTTGATTTTGTGCTTGAAAAAGTCGCTTGAAATTTCATAAAATGTCGCTTGAATTTTTAGAAAGAATCCTTGCCTGTAATAAAAAGAAATTTTGTAGGCCAATCATAATGTGGCAAACCTCAATAAAATTGCCGTTAAATGAGCTTAAAAAGCTATACACACGATAGACAGTTAAATGATGATCAGCAAATTACAGTAATGTAGTCATAAAATCAGTCCAGCTAATCCAGGTATATTGTAGAAAGGGATGCAGTGTTTTAGAAGGGTTTATTAGTGATCCAGGTAAGTTTAGAGGTGATCATGGCAGTCGATTTAAGAATGGGGTTATGTAAATTAATCCAGGTATGTTGTTGATCTGTGTATGAATTTCCGATAAAATGTCCTTGAAAAAAATTTCAGTCGTCCTGTATGAACCATGTACAAGCGCTATCAAAATCAAAAGATTAGTCGCCAGTTGGAGAGTCAATAGAGTCAACTTGCTGACAATATAGTGTTAACAACTTCACACTTTTCTGCCCAAACGCTTGCCACTTTAACATTGGCTAACTAACTGAACTGAACCTAACTGATGTTAGGTGATTCTTGGATTTTCTTTCAAAATCAAATACTCTTAGAGCCACAGGAATCGCATCTGTCCGTTAGTTGAAAATAATAGACTGAAACTAGGAATACTGCAACAGGCAGGTTTTGCCACAGAATTTGCTCATGAATAAGATGCCAGAATTATGCAAATTGTGCACTGTAAGCAGCTGATTCATACACCTAACAGTAACAACCATCCTGTAATTAGAACTTTGAGCATTGTCCTACTAGCCTAAGTGATGTGCCTGCTAATGATATTTCGTTCAGGCCGAGTGAGTTTGTGCAATACTGGGCCAAAACTGTCAAGTTTATTCCCAGTTAAAGTTCCTGTTCTGGCCAGTTAGTTCCGGCCAGAACTTTTTTCAAGTTCTGGCCGGTTACGGTTCCGGCCGGAACTTGAAAAGTTGGATCCGGTGCACCCCTAATCACAATAGTTATTGCATGAAGTGCTATGTGGGTGCATGGATGTCAAGGAAAAGAGGTTGTAAATGTAAAAGAGTGCATAATTAATCTAAAAACCACTCGTAACCAAAATTATGCATGCAGTCAAAATTCAACAGAACTAGCATCTATTAAGAAATGCCCTTGATCTAGATAGCATGTATGAAAGTGATGTAGTAAAATTTCAAATCATTGTGGTAATCATAGATTGTACTCTGGGTTGATGATTAACTGGTTATATAGATATATGTGTGTATATATAATATCTGTTATTTTGCAGCCAAGCAAGAGTCATGCCATCAGACTCCAAGAAAAGGCAGCAAGCCAAGAAAAAAGAAGCAGCAAAGTCAAGAGGCCAAAAGAAATCACAGAAAGAAATTGAAACTGATTCAAAAATTGTTAACGGTATGTGTGTTGTTAGCTTACCTTGACATCGTCAAGCTGAGCTATTACCATGGGTCGTTGTCCGTCGTCCGTCCGTCCGTCCGTCCATCAAATTTGGCTACGGTCAACGATAACTCAGGAACCGTGTTGGCTCACATGTTTGAAAGTGGGTATCAGGCGTGAAAATTTTCCGCGTTTTCCGGTTTTTTTTCCGATCCGAGAATTGTTTCCGCGTTTTCCGTTCTTTTCCGAGTTCACGTGCAGCATTCGTATTCTACCACGGGCATATGTACAGGCGCACGGTTTATCGATCGTCTATTGCGGCTGGCAGCAAGCCACCTTATTGTTTTGCCGAAGGGTAGACTGGTATCCGGCCTCATGATCTGTTAGACAATGTACACGCTCTGCGACAAACAGTGCGGCCGCGAACCAGTCTAGCCAGAGCTGACCTTTTAGTGTACCCTGGGTTGCACGCTGGTTCTTGCGTGTGGATGTACATGTATTCTATGCAGAAATCGTGGCATTTTCTGGCCAAAAAATAAAGCGCAAAGACATTGTCGAAAGAGACAACGATAAAGGAGAGGCAAAATAAGATAAAATCTCATTACAGAATGCACCAGATTGCATGATTCTGACCCCCAAAATTAAAAAAGCTCCCACTCCCTCCTCCGCCTCGGGGGTTTTCAGTGTTTTTCTTTACCGGTCATTTTCA